GCCTCTTTCCTCCGCGTTAAAGCGGCCTGGTCGTGAAGCTGATTGCTCACCTCTATCTAGTACCAAGGTTTAGAATGTCTGGAACTATACCTCCACAACCCCACTAATTTTCACATCTATCTATCTATCTATCTGAAACAAATATTATATGGATACCCCAAAGTAGATACCACACCCCAACAACTTGCAAATTACCTAATAGCCCTAGCGAAGACCACCATATACAAAACATACCTAACAACGAAGAACACCCACGAGACACCACCAGACTACCAACGCATGTACCGCATAAGGCTGCAATTCCGACTGAATCTAGAAATGCACTACAGCATATGGCAAGATGACGTCGAGGCGTTCGAGAGGTACTGGCTGCACAATCACATACTTGGAAAGATTGAAGAGGGACGGATTATACTAAACAAGCAGATCTGATACTACTATATACATCAACGGCCCACCCCAAGTACAGCTTCAAGTACTCCGTTTATGACTACCACACTGGAGATGTGAAAAGCCAACACGAGGTTCGTGATGGTGACGTGGTCAAGGGGCAGTACAGCCTCGTGGAACCAGACGGCTCTGTGCGCACGGTGGACTACACCGCGGACAAACACAACGGCTTCAACGCTGTGGTCACCAAGTCAGGACACAGCGTACACAATGGAGGACACGCTTACGACCACTTCTAATGTAACTTTTCAAATGGCTGCGCCGGCGAAGGTCAAGGACCACAGAAGATCACTTGGAGATCTCAACAACATTACGAAGGCCTAACCCTCAATATATCATCTTATGACATTCAACTGTGTCTGTAAAGAAGTGCTGCTATTATTTTTGCAATTGAACAATAGTCGTGTTCTTAAAAATACATAAAAAGTGCATTATCAAAACTATCTATCTATCTATCTATCATTATTGTCATTGTTAATTATATATTGTTAAATAAAAAATCTATCTATCAAAAAAAATCTATCTATCTATCTATCTATCTATCTATCTATCTATCTATCTATCTGTCTGTCTGTCTGTCTGTCTGTCTGCCTATCTATCTGTCTATCTATCTATATGTCTATCTGTCTATCTATCTATCTGTCTATCTGTCTGTCTATCTATCTATCTGTCTATCTATCTATCTCTGTTGCTCCCACTTGGAGCATAAGGCATCCGTGAAACGCTTGTTTCACTTTAGTTTCTTAATCTTACACAGTCAGTAAGACTCGTTTGACGGGGATCAGCCTGTCGCAAGGCCGCTACCTGTGCACAAACACAGAATAAACGCAGACAAACAGCCATGCCTTGAGTGGGATTCGAACCCACGATCCCAGCGCTCGAGCAGGCGAAGACATTTCATGCCTTATACTGCGCGGTCGCTGTGACCGGCTAGGTTGTCATATAGCTCAGTGACAAATGAACCCTTCCTATTTCAATAGCAGGAGTTGTGTAGCGTCGAACTGGATAGACGATCATGTGTGCTGCTTAAGTAAGTTCTGATGGGCGAGAGCAGTAGCAGATCGCAGATCTGGCTTTAGCGTGGATAAATGTACTAGGAAAACAGAAATGACTGCAGTCATTTTTGAAGTTGTAATGACATTCTTCAGGCTGGGGCCCTACTCTTGTCTCGCTAAAAAGGAAAACCCCGTCATTTTAGTCCGCAAGCGAACTATACCGACCGAGCGACCGCCGCTTGTCGGCGAAGTTTAGTGCCAACTTTTGCGGATAGAGGGTGTCGCGTGGTCAGCGCAACGAATCCCCACGGCCATTAATTTCGGTTTTCTAGACCGGAGCCGCCATTTCCTTGAAATAGCTCCTCAGTTATCACCACGAGACTGAGTGGAACCCGTTCCAAAACCCACTACTTCTCAGAAAAAATGTGGTAGCGCCGGAAATCGAACCCGGACCACTGGATCTGTAGCCATGATTGCCAACTACTATACCACAGAGAGGGTCCTCTTGTGTCGCTAAAGGACTGATAATCGTAAACATAGCTAATAAGTGGTCAAGATGAAGGAAAAGAATTTAGTAGAATTCTTCGTTTTCTCAATAGAGTAAGATAGTAGTCGATGAAAAATTCTGGAAGTGTAATAAAATATTTATTTTGCGAAGACGAAAGTCTATTCTAGGCTGTTAACTGTTAGGAAACTGAAAATATTTTTTGTATTTAACAATGCCTTTATTAAAACTGAATATGGATGTTACATCAATAATATACATTTATTTATTTAGCAATCTTGAAGGGTGATACTGCTACGTGGCAGAACAAAATAAGAAGTATTTAAATTGGAACGAGCCAATGACATTTAGAAGCATGACTGCTGAGAGGCCTACTTGAAGTGCGAGCATGCGTATGATATACCGCATTTACGCATGTATAGGCCGCACATTTTTTGCCAAAAATTCAAGAGGAAAACTGGGGTGCGGCTTATATTCGAAATATTCGAAATCACACTTCATTTAAAAAAATATATATTCATAATTAGTAATACAGGGTGTAATACTCCTGAAATAATATTCCAAGAAAATTATTTTTTCTATAATTTCTGTCTGAAAATTGTGCTGCGGCCTATACACGCACGCGGCCTATACATGCGTAAATACTGAATTTATAAGCTGATGCATCTTCAGGGTACTCTGTTCAATGAATGACTTCTTACACACATCACAGCAAATGGCCTCTACCCACAATATATGAGCTGATGTCTCTTCAAAGCACTGTACTTNTCTGCAGAAAAGAAATCAAGGACAGTTTGGAAACCGATTCTTTAATAAAAAAATCGGAAACATTGGTTAAGTTTTCACTTCGCTTAATGGTAAGATCTTATATTTAATTTTATTTAAGGTGCTAAAGAGTCCCATCCTACGAATACAAGTTGAACTGTCACTGGGTTTGACGAGGTTACAAACAAGTAGATTTTCTTTGGATTTTCATCCGTCTCTTATTGCAACAATTTTCTTCTAACGAAATGCCATCCTTACTGTTACTAAATTGTGACCGCCGATATGAACGAGCTTCTTGAATTCAATGACACATGAGTCGAATGGAGACGGCCAGTGAGCGAATGAATCGATCAGGTAATGAGATATCTATGAATGAAGGACAAGCGTCATGAAATAAACAAAGGAATCGACCCCACCATACTACTAGGAAATCACAGATGAATTAATTTAAATGAGAGACTGTAGTGAACTGATTCAAATGAGTTGGATTTGAGGTTATCTCAGGGTAAAAGAGTAAGCCACAAAAGTAAGCAAACAGCAAAATTGGGCCGCAAACAAATCTGGGCTTACCGCATCATCCCAGAGAATAGAGGCAGTATCTTCTTTCGAAATGTCAATCACTTCTACGGTGATGATTTTCATTCAAAAGAAATTATTAAAAAGAAAGTGATTGTGTCACATGTCGGTCTACTCATCCCAGAGAGCAGGTGGCCATATTTTTTTAGTCAGCTGCGTATGTCCTAGGCTAAATTGCACGTTTTATTTAAGATTGTAATTCAGAAAGTATGAAGAGCGTCGCTCACTGCAATCTCAAGTCGTGACTCCGCATTCGATATGTTCAGTTTACTGAATAGTGAATTATTTTGAAGTGACTCAACTCCATACACACCTGCAGTAGCCGAATGGATTCATTTGTCTGTACTGACTCGACTACGATGACTCAGTAAAACAAATCCTTTAGGATATCCCTATATACCCAGTACCGTACAAACTACAAGTTTCAAATGCGTTCTTTTCGAGTTTCCATCAGTCATTGGTTTCATGATTCATCTTTTGCAGCTACAAATCTTATTGTTCACAAAGCTGAATAACAGCAGATGTGGTACTTATAAAATTTGATGTACTTCATAATTTTTAGTGCTATACGAGAACATTGAGAGATTTTGTAATATAAGCCAAGAACCTATATATACAGTAAAACTTGGTTATAGCAACATCGGTTTCTGCGACACCTTGTCTATTGCGTCAAATATTCAATGGTACGAACTAATTCCTCATAAAGCAACTGTTTTTATACCTTGCTTAGTACGACATGCACAAATGCATCAACCTCGTATGTAACGTCATTTTCATTCCCGAATTTCTCTGATATGGACATTGAACGTAATTTAGAAAGTGTGTATTGGGCAAGTAACAGGAAACAGATGAAGATAACTGATTACTCTACTCGTATCTAGGTACAGTAAGGCACAACAATTGATGTAATCTACTGTAATTTTGTGAGTAGGCCTACCTTTAATATACAGTATTAGTGTGGTGTGTATTGTCAGTGAAAAGCGCTGTAATATGTCTTTGATATTACACATTTGGGCAATTCTATGTTAATGTTACGTTAGTCTGTACTTAACTACGTATTTCACTAAAAAATGCAACATTTTAACTCGGTTTTGGTAGATTTTTACGTGACTAACATAAGGCTACTGTGGAAGTGCCCATTTCGGTTACAATGACATTCGTTTATAACGACACTATTTTTAGGTCCCTTTGATGACGTTATAACCAAGTTCTACTGTATATATATATACTCTGCTTTTAAAAGTGTTTTGTAATACTCTCGCGCTCAGTTCTAACATGAAAGTAAAAACATAAAATGAGCAGGCAGATGTGCGACTTTTGACTTTTGATAAGTTAGCCAGTTCGCATCAGTTATTTGTCGGTATTATTTGAGCGTGCTCCACTAAAATTTGGCAACTGAAAGACAAGATCACTTATCGGATTATTTAAGGTGATCTTGCGTTGTGATTCAATAGCCATCGTATACATTTTTACTGTTACGCAATCGGATATATCAGTGGTGTTTAACCTTTGCTCCAGAAGTCATTACAACGTACGTTCCATATCGGCTGTAAAAAGTTTAAATTAAATAGACCGGCTTGTGCTACCACCTTTAGACACGCACCACTAGATGGTACTAGTTCACTCGAGAGATATTCGATTACAACGTTGCTTTCTCATTGGTTGTTTCACGCATTGCGTCTCTGGATATCAGTGCAATTTTTTGCCAATTAAATCCTATATTAAAGGTTATACATATTCAGAACACTCTTTAAACATGGATTTTTGTGTATTCGAAATATTTTATACTTTTGCAACACGAATACATTAGCGTAACATTTGGCGCCAATACTTTCGAATGTCTGTCCAATAAGATGGAGGTGCAAAGAAACTTTCTAAGCCAGCTGGCAGAAAGGCATATGACATACGAAAATGAAAGATCAGTCTTGAGTTGACGTCGAGGCAGTCGGCTGATAGTATTAGCGCGGTGTTTGAGTGTGTAGCGTGTGTATAATGTGAGTCTGTGTAGTACAATTTTTCAAATATTACTTATTGTTTGGCTGCTTAGGGTACACAAGACAGGTGTTGAAAAAATAATTTCTGTTTATCAGACTTCATTTTATAGGGGATCGTAAGTGAAGCTTGTTGAAGCATTTTCAGTGTGTTCCGTGACGATGAAGTTAGTTGTAATTTCTGCCATAGTACTTATCGGTAAGCATGGTAATTCCTTTGTATACACTAGAGAATAGAATTGATTATTACAAGTATCGGCTTGCTGGACTTTGTAATTCATAATAACACAGTAACACATTCAAACATAATTTCAGCAGTAAATTGGTGGTCAAATAAAGAATTGGTATTTACTACCGAATTAAATAACATAATACTTTGTTTTCATACAACAGACATTGGATTTCATGAAGGCTTGGTAGAATTTAAGGTTTCCAACATTGTAGTTTTATGGAGGCTGGTTGTCGTTGATTGAATTTGGCGGGTGGGAGAAAAATGTGAACCCTGAGCTTAGCCACTCGTTTTCCATTTACATTTTCCAGTTTCACCACGTAGGATCTTGAGTTCCTCCAAAATCACATATAATGATTAAATTGGCTTAGTATGTAATAATCCAATTGACATATCGATCAGGAGCAAAGTTTGGGTGGGCTTTGTAACCCTAAAAATCCATTTAGTTAATGACGAATCTTGCAGTTTTCGGAATTATGTATAGCCGTAGTTTTTCGAAAGAGACCATATTAAAATGATAAAAAGATGTAGAGGCAGTAGTAGTGAGATTTACTGGCAGGATCATATAAACCAAGAACATTCTTGTGCTAGTTGAACTCTGGTTTGCAAGCTTCTTTCTCCTTCTGACTCTGATTTAAATTACAGTAACTTTGCTTAACATGCATCAGTGATACCCAAGTACATGACCAGCCTTTTACGTCTGTGTGGCCCTGAAAATGATCATTCCAATTCAGTTCAGTTTAGTAAAATCTTGTTTCACTTGTAGGTAAGATATTTGTAGTTTCAAGTGGAATTCTTGTCAAGGCGCAGTTCATTTGTTCATTTGTTCTGCAAGGAGAAAAGGGGCTGTCAAGTAATGTTTACCAGAAGACACTGTCTAAAGCAAATATATGACTTTCTGGATCAGCATGTCTCTGTGATGTAGTAACCTGCAAAAGAAAACTCACAAAAATGGGAGAGTACTCACACATAGGCCTATGCATTTGGATAATTTTTCACCTTTCTTTTCGTATCAGCTGTCACATTTTGAAAATATGAGAATAGTTATGACCATCAGTGTAAGATTTGGGAAATAATGCCATGTAATACATTGAAAATCAATCCACCTTTCAGAGGAACTTATCAGTTGACTTAACAGACTACATGGCACTATATATCATAAGACAGAACTCTTCATAACCACTGCTGTGAGAAGCTCAGATCCAACCTAAAGTTCAGTTGATACTTGAACTGTAGATCAAGCTGTCTCTGCTTCACTACAAGACATGTTGTGTTAATTACTTTGTTTCTTTCTTCAGAAGAGTTTGTTGTGTAGTAGTATTTTATAAAGCATGCAGTCAGGATTACTCTTGAGTTTAATTGATTTGGTATACATCATTGTTTCTGTAAGATTCTTCAGTTGAAATTTCAACAAGTAGGTTGTGGCCTAGGGCACTAGGTATTTGTTGTTACCCTTGTTGGATATCTATTGAGTACCACTTGCATAAATCAAGACTAGACTCCCAAAGTCCATCTCACCCATTTTTGCTGAATATAATATATTTACATTTACTTGCCTCAAGACAAAGACCTGTAATTTACCTGAACTCAGCTGGTGGTCTCTTTCAAAGAAGTATACTTGGATCTATGTATTGCAAGAATATACATCAGGTGAACTCTGGCAGACTCTTGTCAGAGCTAGCTCTAGTGGGACTGGGAATATGGCTGCAAGACAGGGTATGCTTCCATTATTAATTGGTATTTAAGTCCAACAGTGTACTAAAACAAGTCATTTGTGGCCCTTTGCCATAATAGAAACCTATATTACCATGTGTGGAACTAGGAGTGTTCGTCCAGCCCTGACTTTTACAAAGGTTGTCTCTTTTGTATCGTGACATGAATTTTGTAGGTGTGCGTGTATCACATACATGTGTGCATGTGCGTGGGGGTGTTAAACTGGCTATTGGAGATTGACAAGGGTGAATATATTTCATGCAGTAAGAAGGTTATAATCCTGAACTCTTGTAATGTAAGCCATAATCTGGCCTGCATGAAGTATGTTATGAAAACTAAAAAACTCTTGAATAATGCCTGGATGTACATCATATAAATTTAACACCTTTCTGGACCCCCAGTACTCATATATTGATTAATTTTAATATATTATATTCATTTTGGCAGAGTATGGGTGCTGTTTGTAGCTAATTTGTCTTTTAATGGGGCAGTGTATAAACCTGAAATGATGGTGCATGCGATGCTCTGTTTCTCAGTATACTAATGATTTCAGTGATTCAGTATTGAGGGGGTGGGTTTCCCCATGCTCCGCGACTGATAGTCTATTGTACATCCCCCTTTTAATTTCTACCGTCTCCATCTCCTACCGACACTGGTGCTCGCTATCAGTCCCTTTGTGCCAGCGAGGTTTCTACCCTCTACTTGGCAGTGGTATCTAATAGTTAGTCCCTTTCTGTCAGCGAGTTAGTCCCTCCTCTGGCAGTGGTACCTAATACTTTAGCCCATTTCTGCCAGCAAGGTTTCTACCCTCTACTTGGCAGTGGTATCTAATAATTAGTCCCTTTCTGTTAGAGAGGTCGTCCCTCCTCTGGCAGTGGTACTAATACTTCCCCATGTATCGGAGGCATTGGAAACTATTTGGGCAGGAAACTTTGGCCTAATTTAGCTCAGAGGCCTCCTAGAGGCATGAGGTTCTTTTAGGTGCTGTAAATCTATGACACGGGACCCACGGCTTAAAGTCCCTCCCGGAGGACTTGTTCCCTGAATTTTTCCACCCTTAAAAAATCCATGACCTCCGCCGGGTTTGAACCCGCGAACCTTGAGTCATGAGGTGGGAACGTTACCCCTAGGCTATGGAGGCCGCTTACTAATGATTTAAGTACAAAACCTAAAAATATTTTCATATTGAGACATGTTCTATGGAGAAAATAGATTTTTGTGTAGGATATGAAGTTCTTACAGCAGTAGTTGTGACAAGGTTTATGCTCTGGGATATTTACACTGTATAGCATATTGAAAGTCAACCAGTTTATCGGAGGAGCATGACTCCTTGATCTTCAGCCAGGTAGCTTGCTACATCCTTCACAGTGATGCCTTGCTTGGCTTGCTCTTTGACCCTGAAGATGGTGACATGTTTCTCCAAATTGTCAGTTGACTTTCAACAGACTGCATGGCATTGTATCCCAGAAGATAAGAATTGTTTATATATTTTTATTCTTTATTGAATTTTGAGCATAATAAGGAGCTTCATAACTTGTAAAATCAAGGAGAATGAGGTGGGCAGGTCATGTAGCACGAATGAGGGAGACTGGGAATGTGTACAGGATATTGGTGGGAAAGCCAGAAGGAAAGAGACCACAGGGAAGACCAAGGCATAGGTGGGTGGACAATATTAGAATGGATCTTAGAGAGATAGGATTGGATGGTATTGATTGGATTAATCTGGCTCAGGATAGGGACCAGTGGAGGGCTCTTGTGAACACAGTGATGAACCTTCGGGTTCCATAAAATGCAGGGAAATTCTTGAGTAGCTGCAGAATTGGTGGCTCCTCCAGAAGGGCTCAGTTCCATGTGTAAGTAAGTAAGTAAGTAAGTAAGTGAGTAAGTTGAATATTGAGCAAGCATGCATGAAATCATTGGTTGTCATTAACAGTATTTTCATTTGTAATTTCAAGGGTCATAATTGCAGTTCGAAATAACCTTTTGATACTTCAGAAGTGACTGCCATTAACAGTACAGTAATGTAGAAGTGAGGAGCCAGAATAGGTCAGTCAGTATGGTGACAAGGATGTGGGCTGGATGACCAGATAATCGGGGTTCAATTCACAGAATTAGAGGTTTTGCTTCTCCACATGGTTGAGACTGGCTCATGGTCAGAGTGTGCAGCTGATCATTCACTTCCATCTAACGCTAAGGTTAAGAATGCATGGAGCTATAGCTCTCTTTTCCCGTACAGCTTTATATCATGCTGCTAAATTAACCATAGGGACAACTTTACCTTCTAGTAGCAGGAGTAACATCTAGGACCATAGTGACAGCTAGAATCAGCCTGCTGATATCTCATAGTATGTATGATTTATCTTGAGTAAGCTTATAAGTATAAGAATGGTGATACATGGGATGTGACTAATTATAGACCCATATCACTCTTGACATCTTTCTCAAAAATATTTGAAACTATAATATATACAAGAACTTTAGAACATCTTAATAAGTATAATATCCTAAGTAGTGAACAATATGGATTTAGGAAAGGATTAAAAACAGATAATGCAATTTACAAATTGACTACAGAGATTTTAAATTCTATGAACAACAAACAATTAGTGGCAGGTGTTTTTTGTGATTTAGAGAAAGCCTTTGACTGCGTTGATCATGATATTTTGTTGACCAAACTTAAATTTTATGGTATTACTGGGAAAGATCAAGCACTTTATGAATCTTATTTAAGTAACAGATATATCAGAACAGTAATACATAAGAATGATGTAAATACAGTATCCTCAGAATGGCTCAATATTAGGCAGGGAGTGCCACAAGGGTCGGTATTGGGACCTTTGTTGTTTCTCATATATATAAATGATTTGCCTNGTATTTTATGTTTTGTATTATTTATGACATGTTTTATATCCATTTTTTGGATCTTTGAAACTTGTTATTGTTTGATTCATTGTACTATCTAGTCGTGTAATTTATGCATGTATCCTGTTTTATATTTAGTTCTGTGACATGTTCTATATCCTTTTTTGGATTTCTTGAACAAATATAAATACAATACAATACAATACAATACAATAGATGTTTAAGGAAAGGTTTATCTATTCAAGATAGTGATATAGCATTTACTAAGAATGGGAGTGTCAGAGGGAAAAAATAATAAGGAAAATTGATCAGGCTACTGAATTGGACTTCAAATATAAACTGAGTTTTGAAACTTAGGACTCAGTCTTTGGTGCTAATGACGTAAATACAATGTA